GTTGAGCCACGGTAGTCACTTGGGATATTTAAACATTTTCTTCATTGACTTTTTGGGCCGTCAAGAGGCAGTCCCTTAGGAGCCAATGTGGTAGTTATACAGCTCTCAAATTTAATCAAAAATATCTTCATTTGTGTTCCGAAGACGAACGAAGGTCTTACGGGGTTGGTACCCCAGATAGCAAACTGACATTGAATCAACGTGGAAACGACGTCTCTCATGACATTGAAACAACGTTGATTTTGCTCATCGAATTAACGTTGAACCAACGTCAGACGCGGCATTCTTCAAAGCTAAATGAAAATCGAAAATTGGTTTGCTTTCATAACGTTGAAACAACGCATTGATTTCAAGTTGATTTTCCGTTAGTTTTGAAAGAATGACGCGTCTGACGTTGGTTCAACGTTAATTCGATGAGTAAAACAATGTCAGATCAACGTTGTTTCGATGTCATATTTCCACGTTGATTCAATGTCAGTTTGCTATCTGGGACAGCATGGGGGTGAGTAATTAATGACTTAATTTTCATTTTTGGGTGAACTAACCCTTTAAATTGTATGACTGTTACATTTTTTTTTTGCTTATTCTTCTCATATTGTTTTCCGTCAGAGTCACGTGACTTTCAAGATTCCGGCCGGTCCGTGAACACGTTAGTACCGGGCCTTGAAATATTCCCAGAATTTTTTTTTTTCCATAATAATATTTGTCTTTTTAAGATGCTTTTTAACGTGTCATGTTATTTAATCCGAAACACAAACAATAATTAAATACAAATAAGTAAAAATATTAAAACGTGTTTCTTTGAGCGTCTTCCGATTGCTTAGCAACGCGTCATATCTAAACAGACTGAGCGCGGTGCGTGCATGGCATGCGTGCAGCTGAAGTGACAGAAGTATGCGGAGAGAGATGAGCGCGGGCTCAGCAGACTTTAATGGCTAATTTCATTGCGGACAGTTCCGGTAAAAGGAAAGGCGATGACCAACTTGAAATATAGAGAAAGAAAAAGGAAAAGTACATTAGGTATGGATTCACGACAACAGGCGATTCCGTGGCGTCAAATCCGTTGTGTGTAATTTGTGGTGAAAAACTCTCCAATCAAGCAATGAAGCCGTCAAAACTGCAGCGGCACTTCACCAAACATCCAAATCACGGTGTGTTTGCTATTGTATTCTGAAACTGTTACTGTATAGGCCTAGTAGGCTGTGTTATGTATCCTGGTTGACTTTATGATTAGTTTTGCCACAGAGTTAACTATTTCTGACAGTACCGGACAGCCTCTGTCTCGTTCACTTCACGTCTTTGGGCGTCAGTGTCCAATTTACCTTCAATGAAATCTAACCTTAGTGTAATAGACCTTTCTCACAACTTCCGTATTTGTGACCGGAAACTGTCGGAAATTGTCGTGGTAATCTTCTTCCGCTCCATTCATAACAGATAGCGCCGAAGGCAACTAGTGAGAGTTGTTGCGTACCTATCTTTTTGTTTATTCCCAAAAGCAGCCATACCTGGCGGGATGTTATTGATCCTGTGATCTTCTGTACTTCTCATGTCACCATTCACTAATAAGCCGTCATTGTTTGTTTATTTTTTATGTTTTGTGTATTTTTGAAGTAACGTTAGTTCATGTTCAACTTTATTAAGATATTTGTATCCAGCGGAATAAGCACATAAAAATATACACCACAATATAAAACAAAATAAATAAGAACACACAACAGTGGGCTACATATAAATTTAAAATATTAATATATACCATTCTGAGTATTTAACAATCTGAGTGTACAAGGGATAAATTAATATTTGTATAATTTTTCTTCATCTCGTTCTATAGCAACAGCAGTGCAAAAAATTCAGGATAACTGTTGAATAAAACTGACAGACTTCTTTCTGGTATTCACATCAAAATGCAGTTTATTGTAAATAATACTCCCTAAATATGAATAACTTTCCACACACTCCACCTTCTTACCTTTAATGAACGTATATTGGGAAGAATGAGCTTCAGTTCTGAAATCAATAGTCATATCTTTGGTCTTAGATACATCAGCTGCAGACAAGCATCACCACAGCATTTTACAAAGTCATCAACAACTGGACCATGACAAGTTTACATTTTTTCGAAGTTTTGAAGACTCTCTGATCAATTTTCTCCTCCCAGAGTAGGTTTTTCTAATGTGTCGACAGTTGACCGGAACTCCGTTTCCACAACGATTACGTATTTCCGTTTTTTGTGAAAAAGGTCTATTGAGAGAATTACTAAAAAAATATTTAGCTACCTAAAAGTTAAAGGTTTTTAATAAAACTCAAGAGATGTGTGAAATTTCAGGATTTATGAGTGATGTTAGTCTAGAATTTTCGAAAAAATATTTTGCTACCTAAAAGTTAAAGATTTTTTGTCACGCATGCATGTCTATTTCCCTCATATTAAATATAAAAACGCATGTCGACTGATATGTTTCCTTTGTCTGAACTCCTTTATTAATGGAGTATATAAACAGCCTTTTCAATATATTAGTATTAAAATGCATTTTCTGAGAATTTTTTTTTCTTTCTGAAAACAAGTTTTTACTGCACATGTCAAAATGTGCGCTCTTTGGTCCATCAGTGCATGGGTTACCATATATCGGAAAACATTTGGAATGGGTCAGACATAATTCTGACCAATTATTAAGTTTTCTGCGTATCAAATGCACGTAAAAACTAATTTTTGCGTATAAATTGCATGATAATGCACAATGCATGCTAATGCATAATCCTTATTGAATCCTTATGTGAATTTAGGGGGCGGCCGGGGGTGGGGGTTCCAACGTCTATGCACCTGCTAGTGAGTGAGTGCTATGTGAGTTGCTTTTGAAGTAGACATAATTGAATGGGAGAAAAGAGAAACTTTTTGTGAACCGTTCTGAAAGTTTGAAGTTAAAAAGATTGGTATGCAAGGAGCCTTTGTTGCCACCAAGTTCATTATATGCAAATAAATTATATCCTGTTACTGTTTTGCACAGTGATATGTTCCGAATCCGAACGATGCATCTGAAAATTGAGGTATTCAAATTGACAGCTGGTCCCTGGAATTTTTTTTTTATTAATATGCCGGTCCCTGGCACAAAAAAGGTTGGGAACCCCTGATCTAGGACATCGATTTTGCTAAGAGAACAATCGAATATTGAGACTGTTATACTGTCTGGTTATTAGTCCCTGACTCCAGGGTGCTGCCCTGGCGACATTATTCCCAATTAATATTCTATTCATTTTGATTATTGACAATTATCTTTGATGATTGTTGAATTTGAAGGATCAATAAGCTAGTGTTAAGTCTAATCAATGTTCCATTAATTTGAATAATTAATGATTATCTTTGATAATAATTAATATCCTATTGAATTTTATCATTTATAGATTTTCATTAAAATGCAACAATATTCATCTAACCAAGGCTCAGGTTCAGCTCTCAATATATATATAATGATTTATTGGAGAAAATAAGGTGTAAATAATTAAATTCATATTAATGTCGTTTTAATGTGCATAACTAATATTTGTGTTTGCGGACAACCTCTTAAAGCCGCACCGTGGAACTCTTCAACCTTTTTAATATATTACCAAAACCCATTGAGATGGTAGATCGACTTACAATAGGTTGAATGACATGTCTGCCGTCTCCTGAAGGTGTCTGTATCACTTTTACTTGCACTTTGTAACTTCGAGTTTCGGGTAGGAACCCGAGCACAAAAAGAACTACAAAATTTGACCGCTTTACGGCATACGTCACTTCCCCCACCACCCACAACTTCCTCAGAATATAACGTTAGTGCTCAACTCGCATTTGACTGCCGTCTGTATGTTTTCGTCATGCCGAACAACAGCTACAAGGAAGAAGGCAACGGTTTTATCAGAGGAAACTAAAAAAGAAATGGGGAGAGTGACAAATTAAAAGCCAGGACGAGGATTAACATATTGGTCCAGCTTTCGCTTCGCTCGCTGGCGTGAGCTAAAGGAGGAGGGGTGCTCGACCGATGCGGACGCTTGCCTGCACACAAATGCCGTTTCTAAGGTAACCCAGATAAATTCATATAAGCAGTGTAGTATTTTCTAGTATTCCGGCCACAGCCGATGGTGTTATGAGTGTAATAAAATGCCCACAGATCAGTGTTAATTTCTACAGACACAGCCCGCCTCAGTGCAGGGCTCGCACTAATAAAATCGGCTCTTGTCAACGTGAACGTGCCCGCGACTCAGTAGTACCCACAAACACTAACATTACACACCACATGTCCCACGGTTTCTGTAAAAATAAACCAACACACATAACGTTACAGTCAGCTCTGGCCGACGGTGTTTTCAGTGCAGTGAATGTGTCCGCGCTGTCCCGCGCCCACATTCACTCACAGACATGATAATCTCCACGGGGATCACCCCTCTCGCTCTGTCAGCAGACTGCTATAAGGGAATCAAGCGCGGCAAGGCTGCCCGGCCCACCTCATACATTGCAAGCACCATAGACAGTAAAAGCACAAGCACACACAATCTAAAGACACGGGAGGCTGACCGGTTGACTGTTTGTTGACTTTAATTTTGCGACAGTGCTGCGGAGCTTGTGGCCTCTAGGGACGTTGGACGTGAAAATTACATGTCGAGCACCATCTAGTGGCCAAAAAGTTCCGCAGTGTGGCTTTAAGTAATCGAATATCAAAATCTGAAGCTAAACCCAATCTGTAACTAAATATGTTTAAGTTGAATATGAATGTGCATAAATCTTATATCTGGGTTATTATGCTACTTGTAAATAATATAAATGAATGTGGTGGTTGGTTGTGTGAGTGGGGTGCAATCACTGATAATGCCCATCTGGGGGTCACAACAATTACTCTGCATAAGTGACTTGACAATGTTCAGAAAGTCTGTCCAGTGACCCAATTATGTATCATATAAACACCTCAATGCATATGCATTTGTCTAGGTATACCATTATAGAATTTTAAGAATGAGGAGAAACAACAAGGTATGATACCAAAAATATCTTTATTTGTAAGAATAATTCAAATAAACACCCACACAGATGGGAAAGACAATGATACAGTTTCAGTTTATGTTAGCAGAAATAAAAGATTCCCATTAATCGCAATATATAGTTATTCAATTCATAAGTCATGGACATTATTAACAGTACAATATATTTGAATCCCTTTGATAAAATATGTATTTTATATGATTATATTTAAAAGCTTGATTTGTTAATTCACTCCATACACACGGGTTGTTTTGCTTTGAACTTATAAATCTGTTCTTACACATTGGCTTCCTCGATTTTAAGCTTTACATTTTCATAAGCCACACCCTTCCAGATGCCGTTCTCAGTGAACATCTTAACCTCTCCATTGGACTTGGTCTTCTTGATTGTAGCTGTGAAGGGAATCTCAGCATTATCATCCTTGTTGACCATCAGTTTCACTGTGATCTTGGTTTTGGGAGGAATTGTGATGGTAGTTTCCTCTGACATGGAGATGGATTTCTCTTTTGAGGAGCTGGTGCCATACTCTCCTGAGTATGAGATGGTGGCTTGGAAACTTAATAATATAAAATCAGAAGACAAAGTAGAGGACAGCCCCCATGTGTGGGTCCAAGTCGTGGTGTTGGTGACTGTGTCCGTCCAGTTTAATTTGAAAGTGTGGGATTGATTCACGCTGCTTTCATTAATGTAGCAATCACTTTTCACCACAGATGGCTTGTCGCTCAGGTCTGGGATTTTTCCAAAATCTATATTGACAATTTCAAACCTGGGGCTGATGATATCCCCGATACTCAGTACAAATTCACAACATTCATCAACACCTTCTTTAACAGCTTCGATGTTCTGATTACCCCGAAAACATCGACTTAAGAACAGGCCATTGTCGGCTCTAAATACGACTTTCCCATTCCTGGTGAAGACACTGAACTCACAGCATTCATCAGGCTTGGCCTTGGCTGCCTCGATATGGTTGACACCAGACATGTGAATTCGACTGAGGTAAACACCCCTCTGGTCTTTGAGCCGGACTTTCGAATCATTGACTTTCTCCACTATGAATTTGCACCAAGGGTCTTTGGTGCTCTTGGCAGCTTCTATGAAATAAATATTTGAGCGGTCAATACAGCTGAGGAACCGGCCATTGTCAGACTGTAGAGCAACACCCTCTTCAGCACCAATATAAGCTTCCAGTGGACCAAAACCAGCAACTAGCGCCTACAGAGACAAAACGACAGACACAGAGCACATTGTTGAACAAAATAAGTCATCCAATTTTCCTTCAGATTGTACACACAGTGGCGGATTTAGCAAATTGGGGGCCCAAGGCGAAGGTAGGTATGGGCCCCCCCTCCCCCCGCCAAAAAAATTTACAGACTGAATAGTGGATAGGCAGGTAAAGCTAATCTACGGCCCGTAGCAAGCCTACAGTGCTTTGGTCGGTGGCAGCAGGATTAGCACAGCTAGGGCTTGGGCTATTACTACACTGTAAAAAAAAAAAAAAAAAAAAAAAAAAAGTAAAAAATAACAGTGAGATTTACAAAAAGATTTTCTCTGGCTGATTATAAAACACATTCGTTATGGCATGAAAATCCGAGAGAAAATGTGATCAGGTGTTGTTGGCTATTTATTGATGATGACATATCAATAATTCATCAAGTGCTACATATGTCAAATTGTAGACCAATACCATTGAAGAAAATGTATTGGGAAGAGCAGATCAGTGGAATTGCCCTAATATCTATAAGGATTCTTGAATTTTCATGTACATTAACATAAAGTCATCACAAAAGAGTTATATTATAGTGAGTAAAGTGAGGTAAAAAAAAATATTGAATATAAATAATTTATATTTTTTGACATAAATAGTCAAAATGATGTATAAGATCCTAAGTTAAAGCAATACATGAATGACTTTAGTCTAAGTTCATTGACACACTATGGCACCAAACTGTATATAATTCTCATCATCTCTATGAGAATACTTAATCTGTCAAAATCCTTTCATTAGGATCATTGACATAAACAATGTTTCACTTATAACTTTCTCTAAAGTAAAGTGACTTATTAATTGTTACCAGTTCTCTTACGAGAGGTTCTCTCGTATTGCGTAAGCTAGCTTACGCTACGGGAAAGATTCATCTTTGCTGAGAAGTTGAAGCCAAAAAATTATTCCATAATTTTGTAATCATTGTCAACGCAGTCTCTCTGAGCCAGACCGTGAACGGGGCTAGCTAGCAGCTCATTGGTTCGCTCAGAGAGAATGCACGAACCTATGGGAGAGCAGCGCTGAGCCCGCGGCCAATGAGCGGACGGCGCTCGCTCATCGCGTCAGAGCCCGCCGAAAGGGGCGTGGCTACAGTGTATAAAACTGGCTCTCCCAGGCTCGGTAGTTGATTCTTCATCATTCAGCGAGCTACACGCATCCGCTGTCCTGGGAAGAAGCCACCGTCGTCGAAGAAGGCACCTTCTAGCGAGCTCCGGAGACTGAGGAAGCCGGCTGTCTGCCACCTTCAGCCGTCCTGCAAGCTAGCGCCGTCCGACGCCGTATCCTTTTCACTTATTAAAACGTGTGGGGGACATTCACGCGCTGTCTTCGAGCGCCGCGTGCCTTGAGTTTGGACCGAATGACTCCATCGTCATTCTGAAACCTAGACACGGTTATGTTCCGAAAGCGATTGGTACCCCTTTCAGGGCGCAAGTGATCTCTCTATCGGCGCTGCCTGCATCCGATAGCGAACGTGACGCTGATCGCCTCTGCCCGGTTCGGGCTCTCAGAGTGTACACTACACGCGTTGCTGCGTTCAGACGCTCAGAGCAGCTGTTTGTGTCGTTCGGTGGCCGCACCAAGGGATTAGCCGCCTCGAAACAGACTCTATCCAGGTGGATAGTAGACGCGATTGCCTCTGCTTATGCCTCTAAAGACCTGCCTTGCCCTCTGGGCATCAGGGCTCATTCCACCAGAGGCATGGCCTCATCGTGGGCATGGTCCTGCGGAATTTCCATTCACGACATTTGTGTGGCTGCGAGATGGGCCTCCCCCTCCACTTTTGTCAGATTTTATAACTTGGAAGTTCTCGCCTTACAGGCTAAAATTCTGGCGGTCTAGTACTATACAGCTCTCCTATGGAAAGCCACACTATTGGGAGTTCCATCACAACCGGCTCACCCCTTGTGTTCCCCTATGTGCTTATGCATTATACGTTCACGGCCCGCTACGCTGGCCGCCTTAGGGCGTTTTGCACTAGATGATAACGGCCGCTATGCTGGCCGCCTTATTATCTTCGTCCACTTAAGATTCCCCCGGTTTCCCCCCCTGGGATGCTTAGTGGTTACATAGCGCGCACGGCGTTGACCAGGTGTTCCCGTAGCGTAAGCTAGCTTACGCAATACGAGAGAACCTCTCGTAAGAGAACGAATCGGTTACCTAACGTAACCTCGGTTCTCTCTAGATGAGGGAACGAGTATTGCGTTCCCGGCCGTGCTTGCGCCACCAGCGTTTCGCTTCATGCTGACAGAATCGACGAACGAGCCTGGGAGAGCTACCTTTATACACTGTAGCCACGCCCCTTTTGGTGGGCTCTGACGCAATGAGCGAGCGCCGTTCGCTCATTGGCCGCGGACTCAGCGCCGCTCTCCCATAGGTTCGTGCATTCTCTCTGAGCGAACCAATGAGCCGCTAGCTAGCCCGCTCATGGTCTGCCTCAGAAGAGACTGCGTTGACAATGATTACAAAATTATGGAATAATTTTTTGGCTTCAACTTCTCAGCAAAGATGAATCTTTCCCGTAGCGTAAGCTAGCTTACGCAAAACTTGTTCCCTCATCTAGAGAGAACCGAGGTTACGTTAGGTAACCGATTCGTTTACGTGGCAGCCGTCGCGGCGTTCGTTGAACCCCGGCTAATTATCGAGACGAGCTAATTATCCGCTTCCTCAGGGGAGCCAGAAGGATGAACCCGCCTCGCCCCCCCACGGTGCCGGTCTGGGATCTTTCTATAGTTCTAGAAGCTTTGAAAGCCCCACCGTTTGAACCACTCGAGTCCGTGGAGCTAAAATACCTCTCGCTAAAAAAACGTTTTTCTGACTGCCCTCGCCTCAGTAAAACGCGTGGGGGACATTCACGCGCTGTCTTCTAGCGCCGCGTGCCTTGAGTTTGGACCTAATGACTCCATTGTCATTCTGAAACCTAGACATGGTTATGTCCCAAAAGCGATTGGTACCCCCTTCAGGGCGCAAGTGATCTCTCTATCGGCGCTGCCTGCATCCGATAGCGAACGTGACACGGATCGCCTCTGCCCGGTCCGGGCTCTGAGAGTGTACACTACACGTGCTGCTGCGTTCAGATGCTCGGAGCAGCTGTTTGTGTCGTTCGGCGGCCGCACCAAGGGTCTAGCCGCCTCTAAACAGACACTGTCTAGGTGGATAGTGGATGCTATTGCTTCTGCTTACGCCTCAAAAGACCTGCCTTGCCCGCTGGGCGTCAGGGCTCATTCCACCAGAGGCATGGCCTCATCGTGGGCATGGTCCTGCGGAATTTCCATTCACGATATTTGTGTGGCTGCAGGATGGGCCTCCCCCTCCACTTTTATCAGATTCTATAACTTGGAAGTTCCCGCCTTACAGGCTAAATTACTGGCGGTCTAGTACTATACAGCTCTCCTTTAAGAAGCTGCACTATTGGGAGTCCTATCACAACCGGTTCGCCCCTTGTGCTTCCCCCCTATGTGCTTATGCGTTATACATTCACGGCCCGCTATGCCGGCCGCCTTAAGGGCGTTTTGCATTAGATGATAACGGCCGCTATGCTGGCCGCCTTATTGTCTTCTTCCACCTTAAGATTCCCCCGGTGTTTTTCCCCCTGGGATGCTTAGTGGTTACATAGCGCGCACGGCGTTGACCAGATGTTCCCGTAGCGTAAGCTAGCTTACGCAATACGAGAGAACCTCTCGTAAGAGAACGAATCGGTTACCTAACGTAACCTCGGTTCTGTCTAGATGAGGGAACGAGTATTGCGTTCCCGGCCGTGCTTGCGCCATCAGCGTTTCGCTTCATGCTGAAAGAAATCAACTACCGAGCCTGGGAGAGCCAGTTTTATACACTGTAGCCACGCCCCTTTCGGCGGGCTCTGACGCAATGAGCGAGCACCGTCCGCTCATTGGCCGCGGGCTCAGCGCTGCTCTCCCATAGGTTCGTGCATTCTCTCTGAGCGAACCAATGAGCTGCTAGCTAGCCCCGCTTACGGTCTGCCTCAGAGAGACGGCGTTGACAATGATTACAAAATTATGGAATAATTTTTTGGCTTCAACTTCTCAGCAAAGATGAATCTTTCCCAGAGCGTAAGCTAGCTTACGCAATACTCGTTCCCTCATCTAGAGAGAACCGAGGTTACGTTAGGTAACCGATTCGTTTCCATGCCTGATTCTCGCACAGCTGCTGCTGCACCTCAGTCTGTTGCTCATCTTTGCTACACTCTACAAAACCATTTAATCAAATCAAAGTGTATATTTCCTACAAGGAATTAAAATTATCCTTAGCGAAAACAACACCTGATAAACAAGAAAAGTACGCTCCAAACGGGGCTCGAACCACGGTCTCCGGCGTGAGAGGTGAGTGCGTTTACCTCGGAGCTACCAAGCTGCATGAATCAAACAATGAAATAGGTGGTTACATGGGGTTTCATATTTGTCAGTCAACTATTCAAAATACACTCGGGGCTGCACTCAAAACAACAGATGGACAGATTATTTCTCAAATTCTCAGGGGAGGCAGAGCAGCCTCCCCCTAGACACGCCCCTCTTGCCAAATACTAATCAGCGTCTTTTCGCTTTTTTCTTTTAATTAAGCCACTTGGGTAACTTCTTTTTATTTTCACGTTTAGACTCGTCTTGTTTCGTCTCTGTTTGTGTACATCCCTGTCCTCCTGTCACTGTGTGTTTATCTTTCGCGGCGCACACCGTTATGGACTAGTCCATTTCATTGTGAAAATAGGGGGTGTATTTGTAGGGACAGAGAACCATGGACTGGACATTTTAACCAGTACTTCAACGTTTCAACGTATTTCTTAAGAAGCGTTCATGATGATAGGGGGCCTTTTTTTATTATTTCTTATTATTGGTTTTAGGTTTGTTGGGGGCCCCCCTACTTCGACCACTGGTAGGGGGCCCCAAGCAGCCGCCTACCTATGCCTGTATGTTAAGACCGCCTCTCTGTACACAATAGAGTTAAGAAGTGAGGTAGGTGGAATAATGCAGAGTGGATTTTAGATCCCTATCCCTTCACTTTATCTAAATTCCCTTTTCCCAATAGAGTATGTCAGTGGAAATGTTCTGGGAAGCTACAGTTAATGAGATGATGCTTTAATGGTTTAAATGATTGATTCTGCAAGAGATGCATATCAGTAATGAGGCAAAAGATAAGTTCCACACCTTACAGATAAAGACAGGTGCTGCCAATAGTTTTGACTTTCACGTCGGTGATATCTACAAATGTTAGATATATACTGTAAATGTCACCCCTATTTGAGTTCAGCAAGGGGTTAATCAACAAGTTGTCAGACTGTTTCAAGCAAATACAATGTAACAATTATGAACATCATTTGAAATCTAATAATAATAATGTTGTTTTTTTGTAATACTATAAAACTGTTCAGCAAGGAAATGTATATTTGTGAGACATATTTTCAAATCTCGGCATGTCTTACCATTTTCAGTCTTTATTCTCAAATCCCTTTTTGCTGAAACCTGCAGGAGACAAAATGTGTTTACTTACACACAATACATTACATTTAATAGACTAAACAATCTCAGAAATTATATAGAGGTTAAAAATGAAGATTCACCTTGTTCAAAACGTTATATCTGATGCATAAAATCTTCTCACACTTATTCGTGTCCCCAGTAAATAGAACTCGGCAACTGAAAGACTTCTTTGCTGATTTTTACTTTTTTTGTCGCATCTTTTACCCGCGAGCTCCCCCTACAGCTGTGGTCCGTATATTTCCCAACACTGTCGTAAAAAGTTAACTTGCGGCACCCTTCTCCCCCGTTCTACCTCACGTGCATTTGTTATAAACGTTAAGTTATGCATATAACTACTGTTCCCAGAAGGAGGGAAACGAGGTACAACACAATACTATGGGATATCGCGCTCTAGCGCCACCTGCTGAAGACACCTATATTCACGCCTGAAAGGCCAATGACGCATGACGACGTGGGCGGGGCTACCTGCCCACAGCATATAAATGCGGTCGTATGCGTCATTCCCTTTGTTCAGTCCAGCTCTTCACCGGGATCCCGACTGTGCGGGGCCCAGAGGTGTTGTACCTCGTTTCCCTCCTTCTGGGAACAGTAGTTATATGCATAACTTAACGTTCCCATTCAGTCGGTCAACTCGGTACAACACAATACTATGGGACCTATATTCACGCCCCGCCAAGTCGCTGAACTAAACGTAAGGGACCAGCACCGCCACATGACTCTTTTCAAAAGAGCGACGGCCCCTGGTTAAAGGATCCCTGCGGTGAGCATGGCATGATTTACCATCGTCGCAGTGAGATCTTGTCGGTACACCAGACAAACGTGCGCAGTGATGCCTATACCGGCATCTGCAAAAAAAAAAAAAAAAAACAGACCCATGACATTTCTATGCCCTAGAGTGCTCACACACCCCTGCAGGCAGAACCAACTCTTTATCTGCTATAAACAGCTTTCTACAATTCCACGAGAAAGACATCGTTTAGATGGCATCTTTTCACTAGCCAAGTTGGAAAACATGACAAGGGAGGGACAAGGGTTGTCAGACAAGGGTTTAGCCTGTATCTGCTCAATGTACATGCGTATAACTCGTACAGGGCACAAAGCAAGTCTCCTGTCTTCCTCTGAGTTAGAGATTTTACAGGGCAGGCAGCTCGAACGAGACAGCACTCCCGACATGACTTTGGGCATAGACGCCGAGTTCAGATACATCACCAGACGCAAATCAGGTGCAAAAGGAATGCACCAATAGCGCATGAAAATTACCAATGACAGGGCAGTATCTCTATTTTCAAGGATTCTAAAGGCTCAAACGGAGGTTAACGTATAGCCTCCAGATCTACCATTAGATCATGATGATACTATTAAATTTTGTAACAAGCCTAAAAATGCAGACCTTGAAGCCCAAAGTATGCTTCGGCCATCCGCGTGACGCCCCCCGTCTGCATGACGTAATATACATCAGGAGGATCGACCGTGTGCGTACAACACTGCGCAAGTGACTTACTCACTTGGGAACAAAGTTCACCAGCAAGTGTGCATGACGGATGTGTTTTCCCCACGCTCACGGCAGCCAAAGTAGTATAGGCTACTTTGAAAAGCTTGCATACTCAACTGTGCACAAGATGTAGTGAATATGGAAAAATGGAAAACAAAGTTCCCTAGCATGTCTTACATGCGCAAAGCCTGTATTTCTGTCCTTATAGCCAAAGGAGTACAGTATACCCCGAAAGCTTGTGCTCCAAACTGTGCATGAGAGGGAGCGAAACTCTGGAGTTCCATGAACATCCGCACACTGTCCATGTGATGTAATTATGCCCATCAGGAGAGTCTGCGGATGTCTGCGCACGCCGTCCATGTGAGGCCCAATTTTTGTGATAGTGGAGGAATTACGCACAACAGCGCATGTGTGAGTGACACGAATGAAGAATTTATATAGCGCTTTTTTTTTATGTACTTCTGTACAACCAAAGCGCTTCACAATCATGTCAGGGGTCTCTCTTCAACCAACGCCAGTATGCAGCATCCACTTAGACGATGTGGCGGAAGCCCCAGTAAACCAGCACCAGTGTGCTTACCACCCATCAGCTATAGGTAGAAGAGAGAGTATTTGAAAACCAAAGTACTTGAAAACCAAATACACTAGATAGTGCACATGCACAGAAAATGTTCTTCCACCCACACGGCCAAAGGAGTATACTTTGAAAAGCTCATGCTCTCAAAATGTAGTATACCTGAGTCCTTTAAGAAACCGAAGACAAAGCGCCTATGACATTAATATGACATTAATGTGCTCATGACAAGCCGCAACGGCCGTCCGATAAAGTTCCAGCTTGGAATGTTTCTTTTTTTTTTCTCTCGGAGAAGAAATCAGTTTCCCCTCAATGGGGCACTGTTATGGTGATACAGTTCTTTGCCTGCACCAAGCTTCAAATACGCTTTACTTCAATGCAATGCACTTCAAAATGCAAGTACTCTGTTTTTGTAGCTTCAATCAGATTCTCCCTCTCTCAACTGTTTAGCCCCTTAAGACCACAGTGCTGGCTCGCTGGCCGAGGGTGCAGAATCTGCCTCCTGCCTGGGGTGGCAGGTCCTTGCATAAGGTAAAATACCATAGTGTCCTTAACAGCAGCGTCATGACGCTTGAGTACCATGTCTTTGCTGGCCAGCAAGAAGTCACCAGAATCAGTGACAGACCCTTCTGCGTACACCAGAGTCCTGGGCTGTGACGGGGCATTCACCCCCAGCGGGGCACTCCTGTCAATAATCGAGAAAACAGCAATAAAATATCCACCTCGGCCTTGCCGAAATCAATCCCAGATCTGTGCCACAATTCAAGTGTGCATGCAGGTGAGACCAATCCAGGTGAGACTCCGGTCTGCTCCGTATCAAAAGCATCCGTGCCTCTTGCAGCAGGGACAGTGAGGGAGCACCCCCTTGCCTGCTTATATACGACCACTGTCGCATTTTCCATTCTGAATAACACGTTTGCCCTGATGGGCCAAGTGTTTCATTATCAGGAGAACTACTCCAAAAAGTTTATGTGACGCTTAACAGCCAAGACACCACTCTCTTGCAGAGTTGCTTGTTTGTGTTGTGACGCATTTGTCATCGCTACTACACATGACGTAACTCTGCCCAGGGAAAATCCTTCTGTCAACAGATTCAGGTTTCCCAGGGTGGTAGGTATTGGAGCCTGAACGCACAAAGGCGCTACCGACATACGCTTAAATGTTGCATGGCCTATAGCAAACTACCAAGTGGCCAGCGCCGGCATTGCTCATAAAAAAAGGAGAATCCAGCTGTACGAAGCCATGAGCCTCAGCAGTCTTAATATCATGAGCAGAAGAAAACATGCTTGCCTCACCAGCCAAAACTGAGCCAGACAGTGAAAACCATCTGCCCTCTGTTCGGTTCTGGATCTATCTCCAGACCAAGATTTAACAGGCCGAGACATAATAACCCCTTTTTATCTGGAATCCCAGAGCTTGTAAATGTAAAACAAATGTACGTGATTGTAACATGCAGTTCGTCCAAATAGGTGAACGATATTATGCTCTGATGGCACAGCAGGACAATCACCACTTTCGCACATCTTCCAGATATGCACGTTGCTATAGGGGCTTAAAACTTGGCAAAGACCTCAGAAAATGTTCTATGGTCTGGGTGGATTGTGGCAATATGCATCAACAACTACACCAATGTAAGCCATGCCTGAGAATGCAGAGGACATAACAGGTGATATACTGCAAGCATTGCATTTCTGGACTCGTAACACACTAAAATGTGTTCATCTGCTATAAATATAGGGTGCCAAACCCTGTTTCTGTTTATATATATATATATATATATATATATATATATATATATATATATATATATATATATATATATATATATATATATATATATATGGGCAAACATTAAAGGGTTAGTTCACCCAAAAATGAAAATTAAGTCATTAATTACATGCTGTACCAACCCCGTAAGACCTTCGTTCGTCTTCGGAACACAAATGAAGATATTTTTGATTAAATTTGAGAGCTGTATAACTACCACATTGGCTGCCTAAGGGACTGCCTCTTGACGGCCCAGAAAGTCAATGAAGAAAATGTTTAAATATCCCAAGTGACTACCGTGGCTCAACTATATGTTTATCAAGCGACGAGAATACTTTTTGTGCGAAAAAACAAACAAAAATAACGAGTTTATTCGACTATTCCTTTTCTTCCTTGTAGGCCAGAAACGAGACTTCCTTAGATTTCCACGACGCATGCACGAGAACTGATCTGAAGTAGTTGAAAAAGATAGCAATTCTCGCGCATGCGTCGTGGAAATCTAAGGAAGTCTCGTTTCTGGCCTACAAGGAAGAAAAGGAATAGTCGAATAAACTCGTTATTTTTGTTTGTTTTTTCGCACAAAAAGTATTCTCGTCGGTTACAGCTGGTAGTTGCTGTGCAAGTAAACCTCACTCCCCGATCTCAATAGGCGCTCTAGCGACAGATGCTAGAGGCTGCAGTCTTTAGCCTCCTTGTTAGAGCGCCCAACTCTCACGCCGGAGACCCGGGTTCGAGGCCCGCTCGGAGCAGGGTGAGTACGACCCGGGTGTGAGGGGTTACATGTGCGTTGTTGCGTTAACAGGTAGGGTAGTGGCTTTGCTGTCTCCGTGCGAACATTGTTTCCTGCCGTCTTGCTTACTGGTATTATGTGGTTACTGGCGTTCGTAGATCTCCGGCCGGATGGACGAACTCTCATCTCGTCGTTCAATTCATTGAACAACTGAACACACTGCATTATCAGTGCCGTGGGCACTCGTCGAGCTTTCTCCCTCGGGTACGTCTGAACGATGGGTATGTATCTCAGATGACGTGGGATTTATATCTAGTTTCTTATCAATTGGGGTTTATGGTAGTTTTTCTTTGTGTAGCTAACAGGAATGAGGCCAGTTTAGCCGGAGATCATCACTAGCTGCACAGGACCGATTCGCTGGCTGCTGTTTTGCTTTTGCCTATTTACCTGACAACTATATTGTGCCTTTTTGCCTGTGTTTAAGGTGCTGTACATTTCCGTGTTTTATTTATGTCTCCGTTTGCCACATGTGCCACT